CATACTTTAACAAAAATTGATCTTAAATAAGTCCCCAAACAATAATAAAAACAGTATTTTACCAAATTGGTTGATCTTTTTTTCTTTTTCCGCACTTCCTTGTACTTATGTTCATCTACAAAGTCACTAACCTTGTACTTTTGTATCTTACGATCAAATGAAATTACCATCCGTGCTTGGCATCCGATTCTAGTTTCTGCTCTAGGATTTTTTTATCAAGTTGTCTTGTTTGTCTGTAGCTCGCATGCCCTCTTTGTAGCACGAGAATCTCCTTGAGGTTAATATTCCGTCTTTTTTGCTTCTGTTGCCATATTAGAACAACCGGATTAGACCAAATCACAAAAATTTAATCCCATTAAAAACAGCATAAGAATGACCTAAGTATTTTCATATATATGCACTCCCTGTTTAGCCTGTTTATACAAGCAATTCATCTAAAAATGCTATTCGTATAAATGTAGTCACCCTATTACTTAGAGAATATTCTTTGACCGTGCATCGCATGGGTATTATACTATTTAATATAACAAGGGAATCGTGGGGAGATAATTGTTCCCGCTACAAGGCAATCAATGACAACAAAGTGGGCCAGTATATAAAAAGTACTCCATCTGTTCCCGAAAGAAGTTCTCACTTTTCTTATTTGGATGTCCCTAATTTAAGTTCTCATTTCCTTAAATGGAAAGTTATCTACATCAAAACAGTGCAAAACAGTGTCAAAACAGTAAAATTTACCCCCTGGTATGTTTACTTGCATAAAAGTGTGTGCAAGTCAAATGGATAACTTCTTTCGAGGACGGAGGGAGTAAAAGTTATAGCAGGCCCACTAAGTAGTTTCTTACCCAATCAATAATACGGATAAACAATTAAGAACAGGTTGGCCCAAAAAATCAGGTCGTAATAGACTTGATCAAATTTATGACCACCTATCATGTGGATTAATTAAAAAAAATAAATAAAAAAATGCGCAGGTTTCAAGAAAAAAACAAAGGAAAAATTGATAGTAATAATTTCAACTAGTGGCGGTCCGCTCATAATAATCCCAACTACCGACTATTTCAGAATAATCCCAACTTTATGGACCTTCCACCAATAATGGTCCCATGTGACCGGCAATAAATAAATTTTCTATAGTTTCTAAAGTGGATGAGATGAGATAATAGCAAGTAATCCCTATAAATAATCCCAATTTTTAATTTTTACGCTTAATTTCTATTTGGAATTCACTTGTTATCTGGTCATGGACCATTATTGGCGGACGGTCCATATAGTTGGGATTATACAAAAATAATCAATAGTTGGGATTATTGTTAGCGGACCGGCGATAGTTGAGATTATTATTTTCAATTTTTCCAAAAACAAATACGAAGTGAACATTAATTAAAAAATAAATGGAACAAAACAGATAAAATTGAACGGTTGTCTACAACGTTTATTAACCAACGTGTAGTTTCACCCCACAATACTAAAACTCCAAACTACAATCACTATATATTACCTCCGTTCTTAAATAAATGCAGCACTTTGACTTTTACATTATTCACATGTTCTACTTTGACTACGTTTTATTTATTAATGTAATAATATAATTTTGGGAAAAAAATATTGTTAAACTTGTCTCATTGTAAATTTTCATAATCTAATTTTTTTAATTTTTTTACTAATACAAAATTATTTATATTAATGGTCAAAGTTGCTTCTCGACAAGTGTGAAATGTTGACCGTTGCATTTATTTAAGAACGGAGGAAGTATACATTAAGCGGTCATTATCCCCGGAGCCTGCAGTCCAATTCATTACTACCGCCTCTCAAGGAGAAAACACAAAACTTTGGAGAAGGGATATGATGTTGTGTAATTGTATTTTTGAGTTGAACGCTACAAGGACCGATTGGGCCTTTAGGGTTAGGTAAGTTCGCTGCTATGCTCATCCTAATTTCAAAAACAAGTAAGAGCAAAGTGTTCCAAATACTTTAAATGCATCTTTCATGATTCATTGGTAACTATGATATAATAACTTACATGTTGTTCTTATATATTCCGTAACAACTTTTCTTTTTTTATTTGTAAAACAGGGTGATCGTATCCATGCAACCATTCGTAAGGAACTCATTACAAAGTTCAAGGATCATCTTTTTTGTGGGAGTTCAAAGATCAACTTAAAGAGGGCAATTTGTATAGTCTCAGAAATTTTGTTGTTGCCCCTAACACAATGACATACAAAATCACTACAAACAGGTTTAAGATCATGTTCAATTTCAAGAAAACTTTGATGGACTGTCCTGATAAAAGTTTCCCAAAAGCTATGTACGCCTTTAGGCCATTCTATGAAATTAGAAATGTTGAATTGTTGATCAAATTGATGTAATGGAACTTTTTGGTAAGAATTAAAATATAATATTATATTGGTTAATATAATATTATAATATTATATTGGTTAAAGGGCTATAATATTATATTGGTTAATTTTCTTATTGTTTAATTTTTATTTTTTAATTTTTAGATGTGATCGGAAGCATCGTTTCCATTCGTCTACCACAGCGTCAAGAGTATAATGGAGAAAGCCAAAAGTTGATAGAAATTGTCTTGCAAGACCCAGAGTAAGCTAAGTTAATTAAACATATAAATCGAACTCTTTTACAAGTAATTTGATGTATAATTTGAGAGCTTGATTACAGCCAAAGAAGAGTGAAGTGCACACTGTGGGGGAATTTTGTGGATGCAATTCCGATCTAGAGCTGAGGTCTACAAAAAATATCCTAATTTTATGTCGGCCGCAGTTCTATTCTGTAAACCGAAGATTTATAGAGGTTATGATTTATACTTGTTACCTCATAAATTTCCATATACGTGCATTGAAATAACAAAAATTTGCTACATATGTACAAATTATTGTCTCGTGCATTGCACGGGTACAATACTAGTCATTTTAGAGAAAAATTAATTGTATTATCTGTCAACATATAAACGACATTGTTGAATTGGACAGATATAACTTACAATTTTATTTTATTACCTTTTAAACTAATACTATCCTCCGTTTCTTTTTAATCGCAACATGTTGAATTTTACACTATTCACATGTTCTACTTTGACTACATTTTACGGTATTATTTTACGAAAATTAATTTTTAAAAAAGATATTGTTCAATTCATCTCATTACAAATTTTTAAAATCTGATTTTTAATTATTTTTAACTAATAGAGATTAAAATATAATTACGGTCAAAGATGTGCGTTGGCAAGTGTGAAATGTTGACCGTTGCAACTAAAAAAGAACGGAGGAAGTACTAAATTACTAATAATGATGAATAGTAGTGATTTATTCTCGCTATTATTATTAATAGAAACAAATTCATAACTATTAGTGAGTAGATCGAGTTGTGTTCAAAATTTATATTCTAATAATTAAATATAAGTTATTGTGATGCAAACTTTGAGCACAAATTATAGTCACTAATTACTACTACATCACATTTTTGTTCATGATATTTTTATTAGTGGCATTATTATTTTATCATTATTATACGTACATGCATGCATGATACTACGTAGGAAGTACATCGTAATAAAATGGGAAAACTGTCAAATAGGTCCCCGTAGTATAACGAAAAAATCAATTGAGTCCTTGTACTATTAAAACACCCAATTAACCCCTCCTACTATAAAAAAACATTCAATTCTTCTTCTTAACCGGTTCACTTCCAGTTTTGCCGGTAATCTTGGACGTGTATGCCCATGTGGTTTTTTTTCCCTGACAGATAATAAACACCACGTAGCGTAGTCAAACTTAGATCTATCACCTTGTACTGTTCATCTTCCCCAATCATTTTGACAAGCAACCATTTCTTCTTCTATCAAAACTCTAAATCCACGAAAGCACTAGACGGTTTACAAATATTGGAGTCCACTTAGGGTTCTGAGGAATCTGAGCCTCGCTGCACAAAACCATGGCTGCAAAAAACCTCTTCACTAAACATCCCCAATTAAGTTGGATCGGAAGACTAAATGGAGGAAGGATACTTTTTCATTGACATCCCTCCATTTTGATAGAAGAAGAATAAGGGGCACGTTACAACCGGGGAAGGAGAAGCTCGAATTTGAAAAAGTGGACGAACCAGAGAAGCATCTTGGCGACGACATCCATGCGTTGAAGCGGTGAAGCAGAAGAGCAGCGGCGGGTAGGCTTGGAACAACGACAACGACGAAGTGCAGCTGAGAGCGAAAGAGGGATAGAGTCAGCCGGTGAAGAAGAAAGTGAAAGGAGGAAGTGAACGGCGGGAGAGGAAGGTGAGGAAGGTGGGTACAGAGCGGCAGGGCCGGCCCTGGTGCTGTGCAGGCAGTGCGGTCGCACAGGGCCCAATTTGGGCGGAAGGCCCAATAGTTAAAGTATATATTAGCTCTTCTGAATCAAATAAAAAAACCACCACATGTAAGAGTCGAACTCGGGTTTTCTACGAGGAGATGTTTATGGCTTACCATCTTAACACATCAACAGATTGAAATTCTTCGGTCATTAGCTATACAAATATAAACCATCTTTAGTGAAATCAATTACGACATGCTCCGTATATACTTATTATTATTATTATTATTATTATTATTATTATTATTATTATTATTATTATTATTATTATTATTATTATTATTATTATTATTATTATTATTATTATTATTATTATTATTATTATTATTATTATTATTATTATTATTATTATTATTATTATTATTATTATTATTATTATTATTATTATTATTATTATTATTATTATTATAATAATTATTATTATTATTATTTGTATTATTACTTTACTATACTACCCTGTTCCTTATAGTTACAATTCTTATTAATTTGGATTTATTTTATTATGATACTTTTTTGTTAGCAATCAAAATAAGTTTTTCATTGCATTTTATACTTACTTTTTGTATTTTTTAGTTTATTATTTTCACTACATGTGTTATATATAATTACTCCACCAATCCCAAATTGAGTTGTAACATTGACTTTTATGAATAAAACAAATTCCTTTTATTCATGGGATATCAATTTTTAATTAAATTTTAAATTAAAATTTTAATATGGGGCCTTTTACTTAATTTTGCACAGAGCCTTAAATATTCCAGGACCGGCCCTGCAGAGCGGACCGCCAGTGAACTAGCTGGCCTAGACCATGTACGGAAATGTTGGTGAAGTTGCTAAGGAGGCGGCACGAAGCGTATAGGAAAGAAAGAAAAAGAAATAAAGAAAAGAACTGGTAAGTGGTAAAGATTAAAGATCTCGAAGGGATAAACTAAAAATATTAAAAATATTAAAAAACCATCTCAGTAAGCTGTTAACCGGAAGACTTGTTGGTTACCGGCTAATAGGCTTAATTGAGTGTTTTTTGTAAGTTTGAGGATTCAATTGATTGATTGTAGAGTAGGAGGACCTAATTGACTTTTTTGACATAGTAGGAGGACTTATTTGACAGTTTTCCCTAATAAAATTGAATATAATGGTCATAAGATCGATGAGTTCTAAAACAGTTTTTCTTGTAGTATACTACGTACTCCGTTATTATTTAAATACAATGTATAGATAAAATGTGACCAAAGTACGTTACTACTTAGTGTCTTAGTACATGCATAACTTCATGATCATGAAAGTGTAAAACTGAGAAATCACTTTGTATAATAAATCACAATTTTATTACATCATTATTATTTTAGTCATATACACTCTCCGTTTCACAATCAAAGTCACACTCTGATTTCACAAAAATAAAAAAAATTATTGAGGGGTAAGTTTTACTGTAGAGTACACTGTTTTGTCACTGTTTGATACTGTTTTATACTGTATTGATATATATTTCTTTCCTAAATTGGAAGCAGGGGCGTATTCAGGGAGGGGCCGGGGGGCAGCTGCCCCCACTCAACCCCACCCAACTCTTATATATAAATATATCAAATTTAAAGGTATACATATATTTTGTTCTACATACAGGTAACTCATACAACAAGTAAATATATTTTGTTCTATATTTAAAGGTACTACATAATACAGAGTACTCTGTATGTTCTTGACTGAGGTCAAAAGTTCGACACCTACATGCAGCGGTTTTCTTTGTTTTTCTTTTCTTTTGCCCTTGAAGTCTTGCCTTTTTTTTATCATCTCAATTTTGCAAGATAATTCAATAGAACAAATATTATTTTGTTCCATAATTAATGTAATTCACTAATTCAGTGGCTCCATAAGTATTTCAAATAAAAGATGACAACAAAACCAAATTACCAAATAGTCTTGCAAAAGTGAGCAAAACAAACATTGCCCAAAATCATCGATCACTAATTCAGTAGCCCTTCAAGACTTCAAGCCTTACACTTTTACATTATTCTTTTTACTTTTTTTTTGTTAGAAACATTTATGCTACATCAATATAGTTGCAATTCTAGTTTCACATTCGAACAGATTTTGTACATAACATAAACTTTTTTTAATATAATTGTCAATTTTAAATTTAAATTAATTCTAACTAAATGCTCCTCCAGTCCTCCTTCACTTAGTTGATTCATTTATATATTGACATAATATTGCACAAATTACAAATTCCATGTGATAAAATTATTTCTATCAAATTAAAATTTAGTTAATTTGATAGAACTGTCACTCAGAAATTCTGGTATAGCCAGTTAATTTTGGTATAGCCTAAATTCACAAGTTTCAATAGAATCAGTTAATTTTGGTATTACTGAACAAATTCCAAGTAAAACATAGACAGATAGACTTAGGCGTGGACCCGGTTCGGGCCGCCCGGCCCGGGACCGGCCCGGCCCGTCACTGTGCGGGCCCGGAACCGGCCCGGTTCTCGGGTCCGGGTCCGGTTCGGGCATAGACCCGGTCGGGTTAGCGGGACCGGGCTCGGGTCCTGGTTTTGGAGGCCCGGGCCTAACGGTCCAATATTTAAAAAAAAAAAATTTTTTTTTTTGGATTCTTTTGGCTCAACGGCCACCCCAAACGGCTATATAGCCGTTGGGTGGTACCAGGGGGGGGTCAGGGGGGTTTGGGTGGGGGTGGGGTGGGGGGGTGGGGGTGGGGGGTGGGGGTTAAAAAAAAAACCTATAAATACTCCTAATTTTAAACATTTTTTCACACCTCTTCTCCAACTCTTCTAAATCCTACTCTCTACTCATCTCCATTCTCCAATTCTCCATATTCATCTTCTCTAATTCTCTTATTCTCCTTTATATTTTATTTTACTATTTAATACTTATACAATTATTATATCTACTTATATATTAATTATCTACTTATATATATTATTATCTACATATACTATATTGCTTATATTTCTTTTCTACTTAATTTCTACTTATATCTCTTAATACATACATACATACTATATCTACTTATATACATACATACATAATAATATCTACTTCTCTACTTATATTTTATATATACTTATTTTCCAATCTCCAATTCTCCATTATACTCTAATATTTAATTCTTATACAATTATTATATCCACTTAATACATACATTCTACATCTACTTAATATATATTTTATATATTAAAGTATAAAATATAAGTTTATTACTCATCGTATAGTATAGTATACTTATATATTATATAATATAAACATTATATTATATATTACTTACTATAACTAGTATTATACTAGTTAATTAGTTAATTAGCATTCTTGTTACATTTTTCATTATACTAGTTAATTAGTTCATTATCATTATTGTAACATTTTTCATTATACTAGTTAATTACTTAATTAGCATTCTTGTTACATTTTTCATTATACTAGTTAATTAGTTCAATACCATTCTTGTTACATTTTTCATTATACTAGTTAATTAGTTCAATACTTCAATACCATTCTTGTTACATTTTTCATTATACTAATTAAAATACTTCACATTTTATTTAACTAGTTGTTAGTTTGTTACATTTGTCACTATACTAGTTAACTACTTAATTAGCATTGTTGTTACATTTTTACTTGTACTAGTTATTTACTTCAAAAGTTGCTATAATTTTAATTGTAGAGACACACATTAATTCTACTTTGCAAAAAATTAGTTTGAAGTATTAATTAAAATAGTTTTAATTAGTTGCATTAGTTTTGTATCCATTATTATATTTGTTGTGAATTAATATTTGTTACATTTTTTAGATGGAAGGTGGTAGATATTCGGTTGATTTGGGTAACCTCCAACGCAATCGAAGAAACGAGATTGGGAGGAAGAAATCCCGCAAAGGTAAAGAACTTGCCGGGTCTTCATCTCAAAGTCGAGATGATTTTGAAACGGGTTACCAAAGGCGAGATGGAGATGCGATGTCCGAAGAACAACTCCAACAAGAATTGGCCCGACATAATAACCGCTTTCTACAACAACAACAAATGCCGACGACCATTGACGAAGAGGAGCTTGAGGATGAAGATGCGGAGGAATTGGAACCGGAGACGGCCGAGGAGGAGGGTGCCGGCAGCCACGACGCCGACGCGCCTGCCTCATCCCAAACCGCCACCGGTAATAAAAAAAGTAAGTCTGAACTAATGAAAAATAATTTTGATAAATGGAAGGACCCACAAACCGGCTATTGGCACGCAACTTGCAAGTGGTGCAACAACAATTATAGTTTGGGAACCTCCGGCGGATACGGATCCGCCGCAAGGCATCTTAAGGCAAAGCACCCCGTGGAGTATGCAAAATTAGGCGGCGGAACGGGGAAGCAAACTCAAATATCGAGGTTTGCGAATTCTCAACCTTTTGGTAATTTCTCCTACAATGATGCACAAAATTTGACTGGTATGGCTAACTTAATTTGTGAAGAAAATTTGCCTTATTTGTTTTCTGAAAGTCTTGCTTTAAGAGATTATGCACAAGGTAGTTTAAATCCTCAATTTAGAAATTATAGTCGCAAAACTGTTAAGAAAGAAATAATAAGGCTTTATAATGCGGAAAAGGAAAGGTTACAAAATTTTTTTGCAAACTTTGATGGGCGTGTTACTATTTGTTCTGACATATGGGAGGATGATTTTCATCATTTATATTATTTGGGTCTGACTGCACATTATATTGATGAGGATTGGAATATGCATAAACGTGTTCTTGCTTTTCGTGAATTTAATGATCGTCACACCGCTGAACATATTTATATTTTGATTGAGCGTATTTTAATTGAGTATAATTTGATTGATAAGGTGTTTGCTATTGGTTTCGATAATGCTACTAATAATACTGCTGCTATACCTAGATTGCGTGAGTTGTGTGGTGCCAATTCTTTGATGGGTAGATTTTTTCATCAACGGTGTGCATGTCATGTTATAAATTTATGTGTGCAAGACGGTTTAAAAGCGTTAGGAGATTCCATGGAGGTAATAAAGGGGGGGTTAGACGTATTTGGGGTAATGGTCAACTTAGATTAAAATGGCAAAGTTATTTGACTGAAAGAGGTGTGAGATATGTTGCTTTTCCTAAAGATTTGAGTATTCGTTGGAATAGTACTTATAAATTACTTAAAGTTGTTCTTAGATATAAAGAACATTTTCCTGCTTTTTTAAAAGAACATGATAACTATATTATAAACGCGGCTGAGATCGACACTTGCGAAAAAATTTGTAATGTTTTGATATATTTTTTTAATGCTACTGAAACTTTTAGTCATGTTTATAAACCTACCGCAAACCAATTTATTCCACAAGCTGTTAATCTCGCCGATGCTTTTAAAGAATTTCAAAATGCCGTTTTCGTTCATTATTTTTGTGATCATATGAAGGAAAAGTTTTTAAAATATTATGCGCATATTCCCCATATTTATGGTATTGCATTTATTCTCGATCCTCGTTATAGACTTGCTAATTTGGAAGATTGTTTCAACTTCTATTATCTTGCGTTTTTCGGTGAATTTCCAATGTATGAGGATAACCCCATAGATCTGAAAACGGAATACAACGAGGTTAGTACTTTATTTTATGCCTTATTTAATGAGTTTCGTGCACAATATAGCAACGCTCCCCCTCCCCCGTCACGAACATCTTCATCTAAAGGAAAATCGATTTTTAAATCTACATTTGGCAATCTTATGAAAAAAACTAAAACAACTCACGTCACTGAACAAAGCGCATTGAATGAGATTACTTTGTATTTAACATATGAAGTTGATTTTGAAGAAAATGATGACTTTGACGTTCTAGACTGGTGGAAGTCAAAAGAAAGAACGTTCCCGATTTTAGCACGGATGGCTAAGCAAGTACTATCAATGCCGGTTTCAACAGTTGCGGTGGAACAAGAATTTAGTTCGGCCGGCAACGTCCTAACGGCATCTAGATCGAGATTGAGCGCGGAGTCTCTTGAGACGCTTATATGCTACCACGATTGGTTGAAGGCCGCACGTAGAACTCAAGAATTGAGCATCACCCCCTCCCAAGATTTTATGGATGACTCAACAACCGATGGTGGCTCTACCTATGCCGGAGATTCCGATTGATTAGTATTTTAGAATTTAGTACAAAATGTATTTTATAGCACTTGTTAAATTTATTTATACTTGTACTTCATATTTCAAAATTGTAAACTTGTACTTCATATTTCAAAATTGTAAATTTGTAGTTGTAGTTCAAATTAATTTGTAAACTTGTACTTCATATTTCAAATAAATATGTGTTCACTTTTTCATATGTAGCACTTCTCAAATTAATTAATTGGTTACAATCTAACGACTTAAAATTATTTTTCTAAAATATAAAGCCGGTTTTTAAATTAAAAATACATTTAGAATATGTAATTTGTTTAAATACTTATACACCTATTTTGTAACATTTGTTTTAGTTTTACTTAATTCATTAAATTAATTAATTTATTTTACAATATATATGTGTATAACTTAAAAAAAAAAAAAAAAAATTCAAAGCTCCCAAACGGCTATATAGCCGTTGGGGCTATGGGTGGGGGGCAGGGGGGTCCCGGGGGTGGTGGTGTGGGGAGTGGGGTTCAAAAACACCTATAAATACATCTATTTTCTAACATTTTTCTACACCTTTTCTCCAATTCTTCTCAAACTCTTCTCCATCTTCATCTTCTCTTATTATCCTACATTCCTACTTAATTACTTATACTGTTATACATATACCATTTTAAATATGGAAAGTACATCTTCCCTTATGCAAAACAATTTTGACAAGTGGAAGGACCCGAAGACCGGACTGTGGTGGGCAACTTGCAGGTGGTGCAAGAAAGACTGTTGCTTGGGGCGTTCATACGGATACGGGATGCCAATAAAACATATGAAGTCCTGTGACAAAGGGAAAACAACAACCAACGGTGGCGGAAATCCCAATTGATATTCATTACAATTTACAAAATGTATTTCGTATTGTTATTTTTTTCTCAATTCTCAAATGTAGTTCTTATTTCAAATAAATGCACTTGAACTTTGTTTTTAATAGCAATTTGTTATAATATATAATTAATTAAAAAAAAAATTATTGGCCCGGCCCGGCCCGGCGGGTGGCCCGACCCGTGACCCGGGCGGGTGACCCGGCCCGAACCGGAACCGGTCATTGACCGGGCCGGTCCCGGGCCTACCCTTATAGGACCCGAGGCCCGACCGGGCCTTGACCCGTCCCGGGCCCGACCCGGCCCGGGTCCATGCCTAGATAGACTTAGGCACTTAGCATAGAAAATAGGAAACAGTAACACGCTTGACATTTCTACAAACACACAAAACGGCATAATAACACATATTATAAATCATCAATGCCCATAACATGTTAAATCATCCACCAAAAATGATCAAGGCTTTCTGACATTAGTTTGAAATGCTCATATGCAATTCAGAAGCAAACTGCAACTCAAGCATGCTAGGGGATTTTAAAACTATCTCTAAATGGAAGACGAAACCAAAAGCAAGATTACTAAAACATGAAGAGTCCATTATTCAATTGATTGGGTGTAGAAAAATCATTATATCAACAAGAGAGACAAATCTGCACTACTTTCCATTATTCCATGACAACTTTGGCCCCAACTGCTTTCATCTTCTCAATAATTTGCTCTGCTTCTTCCTTTGACACTCCTTTCTTAAACACGGCGGGTGACTTTTCCACCAAATCCTTTGCTTCCTTGAGACCTAAATCAGTTACGCCGCGGACCTCTTTAATTATCTTGATCTTTTGAGTAGCATCATAAGACTCTAGCTTCAGCTCAAAAATGGTCTTTTCAGGCTTCTTTTCTTCCTTAGCTGCTGCTGTGGACCCTCCTTTCACTGCCATGCCAGCAGCCTCTCCCGCCTTCATAATCCCCACTGTGGGTTGTTGAGTCATACCCACTTGCCATTCCTACTTAATTACTTATACTGTTATACATATACCATTTTAAATATGGAAAGTACATCTTCCCTTATGCAAAACAATTTTGACAAGTGGAAGGACCCGAAGACCGGACTGTGGTGGGCAACTTGCAGGTGGTGCAAGAAAGACTGTTGCTTGGGGCGTTCATACGGATACGGGATGCCAAAAAAACATATGAAGTCCTGTGACAAAGGGAAAACAACAACCAACGGTGGCGGAAATCCCAATTGATATTCATTACAATTTACAAAATGTATTTCGTATTGTTATTTTTTTCTCAATTCTCAAATGTAGTTCTTATTTCAAATAAATGCACTTGAACTTTGTTTTTAATAGCAATTTGTTATAATATATAATTAATTAAAAAAAAAATTATTGGCCCGGCCCGGCCCGGCGGGTGGCCCGACCCGTGACCCGGGCGGGTGACCCGGCCCGAACCGGAACCGGTCATTGACCGGGCCGGTCCCGGGCCTACCCTTATAGGACCCGAGGCCCGACCGGGCCTTGACCCGTCCCGGGCCCGACCCGGCCCGGGTCCATGCCTAGATAGACTTAGGCACTTAGCATAGAAAATAGGAAACAGTAACACGCTTGACATTTCTACAAACACACAAAACGGCATAATAACACATATTATAAATCATCAATGCCCATAACATGTTAAATCATCCACCAAAAATGATCAAGGCTTTCTGACATTAGTTTGAAATGCTCATATGCAATTCAGAAGCAAACTGCAACTCAAGCATGCTAGGGGATTTTGAAACTATCTCTAAATGGAAGACGAAACCAAAAGCAAGATTACTAAAACATGAAGAGTCCATTATTCAATTGATTGGGTGTAGAAAAATCATTATATCAACAAGAGAGACAAATCTGCACTACTTTCCATTATTCCATGACAACTTTGGCCCCAACTGCTTTCATCTTCTCAATAATTTGCTCTGCTTCTTCCTTTGACACTCCTTTCTTAAACACGGCGGGTGACTTTTCCACCAAATCCTTTGCTTCCTTGAGACCTAAATCAGTTACGCCGCGGACCTCTTTAATTATCTTGATCTTTTGAGTAGCATCATAAGACTCTAGCTTCAGCTCAAAAATGGTCTTTTCAGGCTTCTTTTCTTCCTTAGCTGCTGCTGTGGACCCTCCTTTCACTGCCATGCCAGCAGCCTCTCCCGCCTTCATAATCCCCACTGTGGGTTGTTGAGTCATACCCAACCTCTTCATCAAAATCCCAGACAGCTCAGCTACTTCAACCAATGAGAGTCCTGAAACTTCATCAACAAGCCTCCACACTCTCTCTGTTGGAGGACTGCGATGCTCTGTTGGATCAAATGTTGCGGGGTCATAATCAGCTGGAAGTCTTCTCTGGTCAAATTCTACTTCCTCCTCCTCTTCCTCTTTCCTGGCAGGTTGAGAGAAGTGTCGTGTCTTTCCAAAAGGAGGTGATTGTGCCGTCGCATTGTACAGAATACGCTGTCTTACGAGTTGTAGAGTAGGCAAACGATGCCTTAACTGTGAAACCAGACTCATTATACAATGTAGTAGATGACTAACAAATCATTTCCATTTGTATTTGCTCTCTCATGCAGCGAATCAACTCTGTTGAGCAAAAAAAAAGCAACAAAAAACTTATGCAATCGTATGCTCACATATTTCAATCCTGAAGAGAAATATAAATGACTGGCAAACTACCAATGAGCCCAATTAGCAATTTTGCTGTTCCCAATAACAAAACAATGAAACTCATGAACTTTAATTACTTTATTACCACTCCAAGAATAGAAGGGTAAAAAATAGTTCATGCAGCGAATCAACTCTGTTGAGCAAAAAAAGAAACAACAAACTTATGCAATCGTATGCTCACAGATTTCAATCCTGAAGTGAAATATAAATGACTGGCAAACTACCAATGAGGCCAATTAGCAATTTTGCTGTTCCCAATAACAAAACAATGAAACTCATGAACTTTATTACCACTCCAAGAATAGAAGGGTAAAAAATAGCTCATGGTCCCGCTCTATAAATTGAACTAAAAGCGTTAACCCAAAATTGCAAACGAGCATCTGTGCTTTAAGTTTTATTTTACTCAAGCATTAAAACATTATGACTCAAGCATCTGTGCAGTTGTTAATTTAAAATGTAATGCTAAAGATAAGTGTATTATACACTTTACCTTACCCAAGCATTAAAGTATATGACAAATGATGCATTAAAAAAATTGACAACAGATGCAGTTAAATTTTATTTTATCCAAGTATTAAAATATAACAAAAGATGTTGTTAATGTAAAAAAGCCTCCAGCACTGAAATTTGGCTGAATTTGCTGAAATTAGGAAAAATTTAGCTGAAACGGTTGAATCTACTGAACTATTGAAAAAATATTTAACAAATATTCCTTCGTATTGAAACATTTGCTACACTTTTCTTTTTGGGATGTAATGTTATGTTTTCTACAATTTTCTGTTTGGGTAAGTTTCCCTTTAAAAATACTCAATTACCCTTAGTCTTTTCTACATTTTATCTTCTATTTCATACTTTTCCATCCTATCTCCTAATGTTTCTACACTTATCATTACCTCTACTACTTTTTCCTTATACATTGTGTACTAATCCTGTTTCCATTAAACTTTGTTGAACAACAGGTACTTCATGTCCATGGAACTCTTTGTTTTCTTGAATTATTTAGATTTGTTAATATGTGAACAAATTTGAAACACAACAACAAACAAACAACATCCGAGCCTTAATCCCACAAGATTTTGGGGTCGGCTAACATGAAACAATACATGACATCAGAGTTAAAAAAAAAAGATACAAAGATAAGGTATGATAAAAAAAGATAATAAAGAAAAAGATAATATCATTAAAGGCACAATTCTTTGATGATTAGAAGTTAGAACATGATAATTTGTTTTAATATATATGGTATTATACAAGTATTGACACTATATAGCACAGAAGAAGTAAAATTTGGTTAAATCGATTTTGCTAAGTAGAAAAAGATATCATCGCGATTGTGTTGAACACAGGTATTTTTGAGGAGATATTATTTGATTCTAATTTATGCAATCGGTGATTGTTTTTAAAAACACACAATCATGCTTCACTAATTACTAATTTTGAACAGTTCCATTTACGTTAATTTGGAGTGACCTGCCAAGTGACAAGTTTTCTGAAAATAAAATCATTAATTTTTTCTGCCATTTTGGAATCTTAGGTAAAGATCTAATATCTTAGTGTTTCTGAATGATTCTGAAGACGCATGTGAATGTCAAAAGCTAAATTTGTAGAGCTGATCAAAATGACAATAAGTACATTGTGAAAGTAGAAAGTTACCTAGAGTTTGGTTGGGGTCTAAGAGTTTTTTTAGGATTCAACAAATAACAATATCATTGATTTAAACAACTATGAACTAAATCAATTAATGAACTAATAATCAATAAAAGAGGACTGGAGGAATACCGGAACTACAGAAAGGTAGGAAGGTGAAAATTGAGAAGGGCCAATCGGCCGAACTGCCGAAAGGTAAGTGGCGGAGTGCAGGCGACTGACGAGGCCTTCTGCGGTGCTGTCTCCTGGCGGAATGGAGGCGCTTCCGTGCTGCGTGCTGGCGCCTGCCGGAAGGCGAAGCCGCGAAGGGAGTCGGCCGGGGAGTCCGACTTCGATACTGGATGTGGATGAAATGATCCAGAGATGTCTGAATTACTACGCCGTTTGTCAAAACTTTACATTAGGGCTGAGAAGTCAGTGTACTTGCCCCAATTACAAAGTAGAGTATTGGGCCTAAACTTTTAATTTGTTTGGGCCTAACATTAGGGATGAAATCAATCTTTGCTTTAAAAAAAACACTTTTCAGTTTTTTGCTTTAAAAAAACACTTATTTTCCCAAACACTACGGCTATGTTTGGCACACAAAAGGTTCTAGTTCCTAGCTTCTCTATTCTTTAAAAAGACTTTATAAGACTTTAGTTGTATGTTTGACATGACATTTTTTAAGAGCTTTTCAAAAACTAAAAGATCTTTTTTGAGATTCTACCGGGTGTAGCATCTGAGAAAAGCTCGTGACTTTTAGTATTAGTTAGTCCTAACAGCTTGTATACCAAACCGAACTAAATCAAATAGTCAGTTTTTCACCAACCAGCTATCACTTTTTCTTTTTAAGATCTTTTCAGTCACTAAAAGCTAACAGTTACTAAAAAGCTCGTAAGAGTATCTTTTTAGCTAGTTGTGCCAAACATACCTTACAACTTTTATTTTTCTCGACTTCCGCGTCAAAAGTGCTTTTACTTTTTCTATTACACAAAAAACACTTATTTTACCAAACACTACCCACTTTTACTTTTCAAAATCACTTTTTTCTCAAACACTATTAACTTTTATTTAATCACTTCTCCCCATTTCATTAAAAAAACACTTTTTTAAAAGTAGTAGCTGTTGCAAACAGACCCTAAGTTACAGTTTCTGTTTAAATTAAGTAATTAAAATAAAAGAGGTGGAAGCATATGGAGAGGTGTTTTAAACTATTTTTCATTTTTTCTATTACACAAAAAACACTTATTTTGTCAAACACTATCAACTTTTACTTTTTCAAAATAATTTTTTATCAAACACTATCAACTAGTACTATTAAGCACTTTCTCCAAATCACTTTAAAAATTCACTTTGTTAAAGTAGAAGCAATCATACACTCTCTATATATACTGTGTATGCTATGTATACTCTGCATATTATATATACTCTTGAAACTATATAAAATATATTCTACATTTTCAAAAGTAAGACTACTGAAAAAATAATTTTATATAATATACGTATGTATTTTTTTCTAAAATTTAAAACTACAACATACTATAGCATATATTTTTTTCTAAAATTTTATATATTATACGATGTATTTTTTTCTAAAATTTAAAAACTATTGAGTAAGATTATTTTGTGTATCTTCAACTAACTTAAGTATACTTTTGTCATTAAAATTCAACTAAATTTAGAAGACAATTAGGTAGATTCTAAAAATGCAGCTTTATAAGACAGAAAATGTTGTTTTCTATTATACCACATAAAAAACTATGGGTGCAAATTATAAGAAACAAGCATTCAATATAATTAAACATTCAGTATTCATAGTTTTTTCTTCTTCTCTATAGAAACTAATGAGGATTTTCCCCCCTCGGATTAAAAATAGAACCTTTAAGCAAGAACTCAAGAACTATACAATTCAGTTCTTAGACTTAAAGACTCGAGCCTCAACCGATGCCTTAATACCCCCGGAGTATATTTTCCCTTGCAGAAGAAATTAGAAAAGGAAGTTAGAAACAGATAAATAAATAATTAAAAAATAGAAGTTTTTCAAATTATTAAGTAATGGAAGTTGAGAAAAGCTTTAAAGCAGACGTTTGCAAATTTATAAATATACAAAAAATAACTATTATTTGTATTTAATTTTACAAATTTTATTTCTATCGTTTTCAAAGGAGCCAAAGACTCACTATTTTTTGTTTGAGAATATGATTTAATAAAGCAAAATAGGTCATTATACCGCGCGTGTTTGCTTTTTTTGTTATGAAACAACCGTTATTCCATGAAATTTTCGGCACGATTTCGTATATCATCTCTTTTTACTTAAATATAGAGGTAACTGCTGGTAAGGATGCGTACATCTGACCCTCTTTACACTAATTAAAAAAATAGGATTGGCCTTTCACTCAGTTAACACATTGTACAAGTGAACTTCTATATATTTCAACCATTTTTTTAATTGATCGATTTAAAAGGCTCAATCTTAACGGCTATCTTTTTCGTTAAGGATCTTAAGATATTAGGGAGTAATTAATATGTCATGCGTTTTTCTACTGCTTCACACCGAATTGTTGAATTTATGTACTTAACTGAAAAACCTACATATATATCATCACTCAATGATATGATAAAGGTGAAAAGGTATATATAGCTATTTCGGTTGTCTTTTAAAGCTTGTGATGAAGTTTGCAAGCTCTCATTGGTTGAGGCAGCCTAGCTAGGATTTTATGAGGTTTTGGCAATGTTAGGTTTCATTTCGGGAGAACACAGAAATATTTCAACATTTTATTTGATTGCGTTGGTTGGGAGTTGCTTTTGAATTAAACCATATTCAAACAAATGAAATGTCATCTATTCCGTATGATGATTATTAATTACATAACGTCTTATGTATGTTTGTTGGATTCTTCCTTCGCTCTGGACTTATGGCCCTTAGAGCAAAAACTTTAATACTATGGTCTCCGAACTATATAAAATTGATTTAAATCAAAACCACTTAACATGATAGTCAAGTATCACAAAGTACTAGATTCACCCCAAATTGATAGTTAGAAAAGTATTTTCGAGCCACCTCGTGAAATGTTAGATTCACTTATTCACCTAAAACTAGGGCTGGACTCGGGCCGGGCGGCCCGACCCGGGACCGAACCGGCCCGGTCACTGTTTGGCCCGGCCCGGCCCGGGTGCTGGGCGGTCCGGGCTCGGGTCCAAGTTTTGGTGAACCGGCCCGGCCGGTTCGGGCCCGGTCCGGGCCGGATTTTAATTATTTTTTTTTTTGAAATTTTTTTAAGTTTTAGGTTGGATTAGGTATTTTGGGCCATTTGAGGTGGTTTGGGATGGTTTGGGGTTGAGGGGGAGGGGTAGGGGATTAAATAGGAGAACAAAAAAAAAATAATTGGGCCGGTTCGGCCCGGCCCGGTTTGGCCCGGAACCGGAACCGGAACCGGCCACCGGCGGTTCGGGCTCGGGCCTCCCCTTTCCTGGCCCGAGGCCCGGCCGGGCCCAGGACCGAACCGGTCCCGAACCGGCCCGAGTCCAGCCCTACCTAAAACAATTTTTTGAGAGGACGTACATTTGGAGCCCGTTTGGAGAACTCTGTTTTCGGCTTATCAGGCTTATCAGCCAGCTTTTTCACCAAACACGTAACTTTTACTTTCGCGCGCTGAATTGTGTAATAAGCCGAAAAAGTAAGGTTGGAGTTACTTTTCTGGCTGTATTGGCTGAAGTTACTGTAGAGGACCATTTTAGCTATTTTACATATAATTTTTTCTTTAATTTATTAATAAAATATATTTTTAAAATATTTTTTTCTTAAATCAGCAGAATCAGCCAAAACAGCCACTCCAGCCAGAATATCATAAATTTCAGCAGAATCAGCCAAAACAGCCGATTTTGGTGCTACCAAACGGGCTCTTGATATTGTCTCTTCGTCCCTTAACGTTTTTACCAATTTTTCTTTTGTTTGATGTTCCACTAACTTTGTCACTTTCCCTTTTAAATAAAAAAAATTGTTGTTCCTGTTAATTATCTCTGCTCTGTACAAATCTCAATCACATAATGTTTACTTTATTAATCTCATGCCGGTCAAATTTGGCCAAAGTTTTAACGGACGGAGGGAGTAGCATTTAAATGTGACAATTTAGGACAAACTTAGACACAATTCAAGAAGTGTATTTGATAATGTAGTTTTCAAGTGATTGCTAAATGGCAAATTAGGTAGACTATGTATGTAATCTAGTGCCCTTATTTTATATGGAGGGCCATAGTAAGTGTCTAAGTGATATGTAGTAAGATTTTTATTGCAAATTGGGAAGTGTTTATGGATTAGTTTTGAGTTAAAATGTCTAGGCATAATTATTTCTCATAACCAACAAAACCGGTGGGAACTGGGAAGCAAGTTTTTTGGTACATCGAAATGAGTAATTTTTTTGAAATATATCCAAAAATTTATTATTTGTTTAGCAATATGAATTGAGACAGTAAAAAAATATGTATCAAGACAATTTCACAAGTGAGATCACAGGCATGAGTTATGTAATCCAATGGATTTTACCACACTGGAAACAACGTGCACAATAAATGAGCAAAATACATAAACTCAAGAACTGAAAACACAGGCAATCCAAGTAAGATTCTAAAGTACACAGCAATTAAAACACAACAAAGATTGCATTCAGAACAACACAATGGTCCACATAATAATACATCAAACATTAATGTCTCTAGGGAAGCTCAAAAAAACACCTAAACAAAGAGGGACTAGCCGATCACCAGCTTGCCGTAGGATCATAGAAGACGTGTTCCCGAGTTTTAGCAGCGGGGCTCATGAGCAAGGGTCAAAGGACTCGGAATCATTTGACTCCAGCATTTGCATAACTTGTGCCACACCATCAGCCACATCCTTCCTGATGAAACTGTCAGGCATATCAAACGTTCTCCTCCTCATTGATACACTTCTACCTGCAGCAGCAGGAGGCTGCTGCTGGGGGTCCACCGCATCAAGCATTGCTTCTAGATCCTCCACCATACTCTTCTTTGAAGCTCTCACCATCATATCAGCCTCCTAATGCAAAGAAGAATATCACAAACATCACCACATGGATTGTAAAAAAGAAAAAGACCAGAGTAGTGGAGTTCTACAGGTTCTAGTTTAAAAAAGGAAAAATCACTGGTGTGATGCATTATGATTGAGTGCCTATCCCATTGAATGACCACTTGACTTGAAAAATTAACCAATCAGTAATCACAATGTGCTTTCTCATTTGAGCACTTTATGTGCTTTTTTAGAAACGCACCAGCCTGATGTTTTCTTAAATAAGCATTAAAAGTGTTCTTTTAATCTTAAAAGCCATCAAACGCTTTTTTAATGAAGCATAAGCACTTATATTCCACTAAAAGGCATTAAATCCTTGAAAATATATCATCAAAATACAGTCAATATTTTCTTTCCTTAACAACATTTCACTGCAAATGTTGCATCTCAAAAGAGAACAAAGTGTAATGATCCTGAGTGTCCATGTCAATTACATCACTGAATTAGTACTACACTTTGATAGTTTTGTAACACAAAGCAATAATAATCTGTAATAAAAAAAGAAAAATACAAGAAAAAGAGATGTTTTTCGATTGTTAAAAAATAACACATACAATGATAGTTTTGTGGTTCAACACGCGTGGCCTACGAGAAGGGGCGAAAGGCGGAACAAACTATAGTGAAAGAGTAACCGCACTAGTGCCCTACAGAGTGCTCTAAGCTATGTTTTCCCTCAGCTACATTATCTGACTCCTACACACACTCCTCTCATATTTCGCTACTGTTTACAGTACCGAAACAAGTCCCAACTAAATAAGTTGCTTATGTGGCTCTATAGTTTTTTCAAACCATTTAAAAATCACCATATCATTGCCGCACCACCAACACATCATCTTCATCACAATATATTTTGAACTTGGAGGCCACCACGATGAGGCGTACAGTCTGATAATCAAATACTTAAAGATTATTGGCATCATTTTAACACATTATGTTTCCCACTTTGTGAAATGCATATTACCCACAGGCCACATCAATTATTCGTAAACATGTTGAATGGGGATTTATAATACCTCAATGGCATCCACAGTGAGTAGGAGCACGATAATCTTCTCAGAAAACCTTTGGCGCTCCTCAGCATCACGAGCTACACGCTTTCTATAAGTGAAGTTGTTGAAATAGGACTTAAGTTCCTTCAACTTACTCTTAGCAATGGCCAACTCGCGAAGAGCACGGAGAGCCTTTGATCTCCTTACAAGATAAGCCTTAAAGCTATACTGTATTATCATGGCAGCATCTTGTGGGGACAAATCCTTCCTCTTTCCTCTCTTCTTCTCCATCATTTTTGCAAATGCCTATCACAATGTCAACAAGAAGTAACCCCTTAAACAACCTTCAACATTTATCATATTATTCAGTGTATTTGTAAAGCGTCAAGCACAAATAAGAAACAACGGATTACTTAATATGCTAAGCCAGCCACTAAAACCCACCTATCCAAACTGACCCAACACTTCAGAGGAGAAGACTTTGAAGGACTTCGTATATGCAATTATGCATTGATAAAAAGAATGCTCTTTGAAAAACAAACAAAGATATATCAAGATAGAGACTTAGACTTGGCTCACTAAAATTCTCCCCCCAGCCGACCTTAACCCCACCCTTCCATGAGCCCCAAGAAAAACCCCTATAGCATCAACAAGCAAATAAGCTTTGGCTTCTGTTGGTGATTAAAAAAACGTCTCTTTCCATGTCTTGGATAATTACCCACTTAGGTTGGTGACAGAGTACTGGACTACTGATTTTCACTGCGGTAAACAGGTTAGTATCACTACAGAAGTAAACCATCAACTCAATTTTAATGCAGACATTTCCAATTATGCATCAGGATGTGAAGAACAAACAAAAAGATAATCCAGACCTTTGTCCGGATAATGGCCCTATTATCAGATGGATCTTCAATCTCAATCACGCGCGCGCAGCTCTGTGCTGATTCCTTCTTCTGCTTATCATTTAAAGTCTTCTTCTTTTCCTTTTCCTTCTCCTTCTCCTTCTCCTTATCCTTCCCTGAAGCATTAGACTTCCCTCCATCGCTGGTGGACGTTTTGAAAGTGTATGTCCGCGAGACAGGAGAGTCTTCCCCTTTCCCCTTGATCTGAGCGATCATCTTGTAGCTCTTGTCCAGAGAGCCCTTCTTCTTCCCATCCTTAACCTCGGCAACCCACTTGTAGGTCCGGTCAAGCCCGTCTTCCTCCGGGTTCTTGATCTCCGCCGTCCACGTGTACTTTCGTTGCCCGACCCGCGACTTCTTCTTCTTCTCGGCCTCCTCCTTGAGCAAGCGGTCAAACCCCAGCTCTATGGCAGAGACCCTGTCGCAGAGGCTCTGCAAGTGGTGGCGCTCTGACCCGAATCGCTGGACCCGTTTGGCTGAGCTGTAGAACGGAGTCCTCTCGATCTGAATCAAATCGGTAACGGCGTCGAATTCTTCAAAGGGTGAAGGAAAATCAGGGAACGCTCCGGAAATGAGACTGGGAGAAAGCAAATCAAGAGCGATGTCGAAGTCGTCTTCAATGGCGATGGGAAACCATGGGTTTAGTGAGAGGGACTTGGGAGGCAGGAAAGAAGATGGGGAATGCTCGATTAACTGGAACCTCCTTAATCCGCTCATTGTCCTTGGATGCAGAAAATAGACAGTTTTTAGTTTTGATTCCTGAAAGAGATGGATAGGTAGGGGTCAGAATTGATCGAGAGAGCTCAGTTTAGTATATGTGGATAGGAGTGGAGAGACTGAGAGAGTGAGATGGAGGTTAGTGGCGACTGATGAGGGGCAAGATTGGCATATTGACATTAATTAATGTTAATTGATTCGACAATATACGACTTAATTGTGCGGAATTGTCTGGCACGTGACATTTTAGTAAATGGTACGGAGTAGACTTTTTTTTTTTATTGGAGAAAATAATTAAAATACCCCAAATTTTAAAGAAGTATGAGTTAAGTACATCAAATTTGCATATATAATTTAAATATCCAAACTTTATATAAATAGTTATTTTAAATCTTAGCCATGTATTATTTTTTTTCTCAAATGTTAATTTTTTGTGTTAATTTCATAATTTAAAATATTTTAGCATTCATGAAGATACAATTAACATTCTAAACTTCCATTGTAAAATAAATAGTATTAATCCCCACTCTATATAATTGCAAAGTTTTCAATTTGATATTTCAAATTATTCAATTAACATCATAATTTTACATTTTTGAAAGAAATGATATATGATCATGGAGTTAAAATAACATTTCAAATAAAGTTTGGGATATTTAAATTATATATGCAAGTTTGAGGTGCTTATCTCATACTCCTTCATAGTTTGGGGTATTTTAATTATTTTTCCCTTTTTCATTTATTAGATTGATTTAGGCATTTAGCTGTCTTAATAGTTTTCCCTTAAATTATTTTTCCCTATTTTAAGTGTTTTGTAAACGATGTTTTAAGTCTTAATAACTTGTGATTTTTTATACGAAAAACCTAAAAAAAAAGTGTTTTTTTTGGCTTTTTACAATAGTTTTTTGATACTCCGTACTACTTATTATATTTTTATATTGAATAGAAATTCTATTCATTTGATTTGCATCTATAAAGTTTGCTTGAAATGTTTAATTTCAACAATATTCATTACTACCTACTCCGTATTTTACTTGAGGCGTGATAGCTCGTAGACTCGTAGTAGTAGTTTTAATAAACATTTGCGGTTTTTGTTACTCCGTATACAAGTTCGTGCGTCTATGTTGATCGTTTTTTTCACACGAAAAGAGGGAAAAGAATCAAAAGATAATGTGGTCAATATAATGGGGTCTAGTTTGTATTTTTATAAGAGATATTACCCAAAATGGGACTAAAAAAGTTTGAAAATTCTAAAATAGGACTTCCATGTTTTTATTCCCAAAATAGGACTAATTACTGCCATGTTTTGACAGTAACAGACTTCAAACATGGCAGTATTTTCCAAATTTGGCAGTAATTAGTCCTATTTTGGGAATAAAAACATGACAGTCCTATTTTGGAATTTTCAAACTTTTTTAGTCCCATTTCGGGAACTTTCCCTTTTTATAATTATCCAAATCAGGTCTGATCTGTTCTGGGATGAATTACAGTCGAAGTAAAAACTTCCTGAGTGATGTCTTTTCTAAATTTAATACCTTAATATATATATAGAGAGAGAGTGGAGTTTTAGTTGAGAAGTGAGAATAATCTCAATCGTTGAATTAGATTTTGTTGCAGTAAAAGAGAATCACGTTGTGTTGAAATATATCACTATAGATGTTTTTATTTGGACTGTAATTTGTCCCAGACCAGTCCAGACCAGACCAGGCTTGGATAATTATAAAAATACAAAGAAACCAGACTTTACCAGACCAGACCAGATCAGTTCAGACCAGATCAGATCAGACCAGACCAGCAAATTACAGTCCAAGTAAAAACATCCCATATGTGATTGACATTTTCTTAAATACTTTTGAAAAATTTGTATTACATCTCTCTAGTGCAGCATTACGTTGGTTATAATGAGGAAATTTGTTAAATTCAACTAATAATTATTTAAGTAGACATATTTGGGTAAAAGTCTAAAGTGAGCTGAAGGTGAAAAACGTGGGCTGGATTAAAACGTTATTGGACCAAGCGTTAGGGGTTTACCTCCAGCCGATTGAATAATACATTCGGATCCCTAAACTACCCTGTGCGTATGTATATGACTTTCTTCGCGGCAAACGGCGCCATCGTCGATCCTTTCCTTCACCTACGTTAATCATCCCTTCAAAACCAAAATTCTTCACCTTGATTCACTGTTGTGAGGTATGGTTCATCCTTCTCGCCGATTCTTCTTCTCAGGTTTCTTCTTCTTCTTTTTAAGATGTTTTCTATATTTAAATTCTTCTTTTCAGTTCTGCTTCATCTTTATTTGTTCGCAGCAACATCGTTTTTTACATATACAATTTCAAGTTCCTAACATGCTATTTTATATCTATCTCATCCTGTTTATACGTGATTATTCATACGGCGTATTAGATTAGTATTTGTTCTTGCATATTTAAGCGTCTTTGTGTTCACTCTTATCTGCATCGGTTGGCTTGGCTTATAATTAAGTTACTTTAATTTTGTCTTCAATTATTTTTTTTGCATGTTTTATTCTTTTGCACTTTAAAGTTTGACAATGAGATAATGTTCATATGTAGTGCACACGTTCGTGGCTTTTATGGTGTTTCCTTTTTTTTTTATATTTGTTCATTACCACCACACTTGGTTTGGTAATTACGTAGTATTTTTTAGGATAAATCAAAATAAAATCACTTAAACTATATAGCATTCATGTTCTCTGTTTTTGATAAATCAGAAAAGGTATTTTGATTGAACTCTTTTATGTATACGTGTGTTTCATCATTTATGTATGAACATATGAAAAAGTGTGTTAAGTATCCAATTAATTTATCCCATGCCAATAAGATAATTGAATACAAATGCTTAAGTTTTGTTTGTCTCTATTTAACTGAGAACCTTATAGTTTCATTTTGGATTTGAAACAACATCTGTGTATATTGTATTTAATTAATTGTGTAAATATATAGGACTAGTTGATTATGGGTGATTACGATTATTGCAAAAAAAATTGTTGATTCACCTGTAATGTGTGTCTATATCCTATAGTTTATAGTGCAAACCTAAAATAAGTAATGTTTGATTACTTGGGTCAAGTTACAACTCTTAAAGGTCATGCTAGAATATACATCCCAGATTCCCACCAGTATGTCTCACTTGCAACTAGAGTTTGGGAATGTGAGAGAGGCACATACCTAATCACCTAACCTATATCTATAATGCAAATTTCTCATTTTGCATTTGTTATATTGCTGGTTGAGCCTTTCAGATGTCGTCTAAGAAAGAAGAGGGAGGATATTTTATTTGGTGCGATGAAACGATCGGATTTTTTAATGACATATGCATTCAGTTCATTCTTAAGAATGGGAGGGGACAACAATTTAGGTGGAAGGAGATGCAAGCTTTGTTTGAGGAGAGAACAAAAAGGAAATGTACTTTTATGAAAAATAAGTTTGATTTTATGAAAAAGGAATGGCGATTATGGAAATTATTGAAGTGTGACGAGATTGGTTTAGGTTGGAATGCAGCCATTGGCACACTGGATGGTTCAGATGAATGGTGGGGTAAAAAAATTAAGGTATATATGGTACTTTGTACAATTTATTACCTTAGAAATTAAACATATTAAAATATTTGACTTTTAAAGAAAGAAAAAATCTACACGAAAAAGCAGAAGTTAAGAAGTTTAGGCATAAAGGAGTTTTGCCGCATATTGAGGAGCAATGGGATCAAATATTTGGGGACTCAGTAGCCACTGGAGTAGAATGACCACAACTTTGGAGAATAACAATCAAGAAAATCACCAAGACACTGTCCCCTTAGAGGATAACAATGATACTTACGAGGTATTTAACAGATATAATGCTGAACCAGACCTGGAAAACTTTTTTCAAGATTTTATGCAAGAGGCTAGTGGGAATATGCCTTCTGCTCCTACAATTACCACTGTTGAAGATGTAGGGACAGGTGCCACTAGTAAGAAGCACAAAATAAGGCAGTCTAAGGGATAAGTGAAACTAAGTGAAAATTTAGAGAGGAGGAATACATGTCTTCAAGCAATTGAGCGCCTCTTGACTAAAAAGGAGAAGGTTGGTGATGATTGTGTTAGTGTTGGTGATGTCATGGTAATTATAACCAGAATGGCTGAGAATGGTGGGCTGGTGAGGAGTGGTGACTTATGGTTTCACAGTATTTGTGTTCTCGACAGTCCTAGTAGAAGACAATTCTTCATGAGTTTTAAAGATGACGATGAAAGGCTCAACTGGCTGAAGTTTATGCACGCAAAAGGAATATTTTAAATACATTTAGTATGTTATTTCGACATACACATTTACAATATTATGTCATAAGTAACCTTTAGGATACAAAATTATTTATTAGGTTGGATATTTGATTTTAACTTTTATATGTTGAGATTCAGGGGATTTTTTTTACTAAGAGCAGTATGCTTATATTATTATTATTATTATTATTATTATTATTATTATATGCATTTATTTATTTACTTATTTATTTATTTGTAGGGATATCATGAACCATGATGATGATGATGAGTTTATGCTTCTTATTATGGTTGGAATTACTATTCATGATAGAAATGCTATTATTGCTTCCCATTATTACAAGCATATGTATAAGGAGCCTTGCATGACATCAACTTTAAGTGGGGAGGCTTGGATGCAAGAGGTGTTAAATGGCCATCCTATTCGTTGTGTTAATGTCTTTAGGATGTCTCCAAATTTATTTGCACGCCTGTGTAAGGATTTGCAATTAAAATATTGATATATAGAGTATATGGGCCTGGACCCCATGGCCCACACACTCAACGGCCCAAAAGGCACCAGCAGGACACCCACGCGACACCCGCATCGGACAAAGGCCCGCAACGTCTAAAGAAGAAGATATCACCTGTGTCTCTTGGTCCACAGGCCATGGACCGCATCGTCCGGACTTCGTCCAGGCAGAATGCATTTTCCTATTTTATGTACTAAGTATTGTACTCAGCTCATTAGTGGCCTATTCGCCCAAAGAAGGCATGATTATTGTAATGGGCCTCCTAAGCCCAAGGCTAGGGGCCCAAATCCACATTTTTTCCTATAAATAGACCCCAAGGGGCTAATTATAGGGGGTTGAGAAATATAATTACTCATTTTATCTCTCTAACTCTCACATCTCTCTA